ATACATTACCCATCCTGGGTGATTTTTTCCTTGGTGGAAGCAGGCTGATCTATGGCCAAGCACACATCTCTTTCTGGGACCCATATTGGCGTGGTGGCACTCTGAGGGAAAACACAAACATACCCTCTTTCACGGTTTAGTAGGGGGGCTGGCGGTTGCCATTGGAAGGAGATAGGATCATCTCTCCATCTCACCAGGGGCATGTTCCTTGGCAGAGACACCTAGTGCTTGTAGGCTGGGCTGAGCTCCTTTTAGGGCCTTGAGCTTAGGTCTCAGACCTGTTGAATATAGGCATTCAAACCAGTCTGTGCCTGGTGCACAGGATGGACATATTCCTCATGCCCTGTGAGCATATCATAGGTCACTGGGATGTTAAGCAAGATATTTGTCCAGGCCTGGGATTCTGCCTGATCATCATAAAATCATCATAGACTAATCTCCAACTGAGAAAGACTGCAGGCTCCAACACAGCTTTAAGCAAATGGTACCAATGGAAATATGTTTGTAACTGCATCAACCATTGAGCAAGGACCTGATGTAAGTAGGAGAAATCTGAGCCTGACTCATTGGCTGCCTTCCAGATGATGGGGAGATCAGCTATGGGGGTGGGAAGCCAGGACTGGTCATCGGCATTTGGGCCCATATTGATTAGGAATACTTCTATGGGCCTACGGACTGAACGTGGCACAGGCTGTGAGGGTTGTAAGACACCTGGCACCGTGGGAGAGTAGCCCTCCTGAGGCAGGCTGGTATTGGGGTAGGTTGCGCCAAGAATACTGCATTGGAGGGGTAGCTGCCAGCGGTGGTGGTGGAGCAGAGGGGGTAGCAGCACATGACTGAATGACAGCTGCCTTCTCTTTGACAGATATGGCAGGACCCAAACTGACAGCTACATTCTCCTTTTCAGATTTTGTGGGGCCCAAATTGACAGCTACATTCTCCTTGACAAATTTCGGGGGGCCCATACTAACAACTATGTTCACTATGTCAGATTTTGCAGGGCCCAAACTGACAGTTATGTTCTTTTTGACAGATTTCATGGGGCCCAAACTGACAGCTACATTCTCCTATGGGCCTTTCCTACTACATTACATAATGAGTTCTGGGCCTCCCGTGACCACACAGTGAGATAATATTTAACAAAATGGCCAGATGATGGTGGCCATTCCAGCACTGTAGAGGCAGAGGCAGGCAGATCTCTGTGAGTTCAAGGCCAGCCTGGTCTGCAGAGTGAGTTTCAGGACAGCCAGGACTACACAGAGAAACTCTGTCTTGAAAAACCAAAACCAAAAACAAAAAAACCCCCAAAATTTTCTATATTGTCTTTTCCCATTTAAAGCACATCTTAACGCTTGGGCTGTAGCTCAGTGGCAGAGTCCTTTCCTAATGTTTGAGGCCTTGGATTCAATCCCCACCTCCACACACAAATATAAACAGAAATCTCTTCATTAAAAGAATTTTGAAAAAATTTTATTATCTCTGTGTGTGTGTATGTGTGTGCACCATGACACACCTGCAGTTCAGAGTACAACTTACAGGAGTTGGTTCACAACACTCAGGAGCCAGGGGCAAGCATATCTGAGTTCAAGGCCAGCCTTGTCTACAAAACAAATTCCAAATGAGCCAGGCCTTCACAGTAAGTCTCCAAAATAAATAAATGAATAAATATAAAAACAGAAAGAGAGAATCAGCAACAGAAGAAAAGCATTGGGAAGGATTGTCCCTGGTGAGGTGGGTGGAGGCAGGGACTTGTGGTCTCTGGAGAGCAAAGGAAGCCCTGAGCACAGAGCAGCAAGGTTTGACAAGTGGTCAGCATGGGAGTCTTTCTCCTTGCTTGCCCTGTGGAGGTCAGGCAGTGGCTGCACCAGAACCTGTTATCAGATGGGGCGCTTGCACATGGGGGCAGCCGCTCTGTTGGCTCCTCGTTGGCTGGTCTCGGCCCCCCATTCATCATTTACTATTACTAATGGAAAGTTCAGCAGAAATAGGGGAGGCAGAGGAAGGTGGATCTCTGAGTTCAGGGCCAGCGTGGTCTACATAGGGAGTCCCAGGATAACTAGAGCTGCAATCCCTCCCTCAAAAACAAAACAAAAAACACAACAGAAGGAAAAGGAGGAGGAAGGAGAAGAAACAGGGGAGGGAAAAGTGAAAAAAGTCAGATGTAGTGGCTTCTGCCTGTGATCCCTGTACGAGGGAGGCTGAGGCAGGAGATCACAAGTTTTAGGCTAGTATGGGCTACAGAGTGAGACCCGGTCTCCAAACAAAACAAAACCCCAGATTGTGGCCTTCTGCTGAGTATCTTTATGTGTGGGATTGTTTTGCTTGAGTGTAAATGTGCACACCTCGTAGCATGTGTAGCATGCCTTGTGTAGAGGCCAGAAGAGGCTTATTAGATCCCCAGGAACTAGAATTATAGACAACTGTGAGCTGCCATGTGGGTGCTGGGAATCAAACCTGGGTCTTCTGGAAGAGCAGCTAGTGCTTTTAACTGCTGAGCTATCTCTCCAGCTCAAGTTTACATTTAATAGAAGACTTGGCTCCTATCAAGGAAGTGTCCTTTCAGATCTTCAGTGCAGTGGAACAAAAAAGGTTGGAGACAGAGTTAATGGGTGCTTAGGTGTGGTTGTT